AAGGGACGACACTGGTCGAGAATGTGCTCTGTGGATGCTGCAAACTCGGTGCCCGTTTGTGCCTTGGCCTCTGAGAGCTTCTTTGTGCCCCCTGGGTGATTGAGAGGAGTTTGGTTCTGCAGTAATTGGGCTTGGTGGTGGAGCTTGGGCTAACCTGGCCCCTTGCTGCCGAAGTGCCAGTAATTAACATGTTCAGGGCGTCTTGTACCTGAGGGTTTTGCTCCGAGATGCTCCTCCTCTGTGCTGGGACCATCTTTTGGGTTGGGAAAGAGATGTTGCGAATGTTTATGGTTATTTTTTTCACGGGAGGCAGTTAACACAGATTAGATTTTAACTCCCCATTCTTGCACTCGAACCCGTCCAGGGTGGTGGTTGTTCATTTTGGTTTCGTAATCTTCCCGCTGCAGCGAGGCTGAATAAAAGAAATTATCTGACAAAGGCATAAGGCCTTATCCCAGTGAGACGTATGTTGATGCTGATATGGGAAGTAATACTAGAAACAGGAGGTTTTAACGGAGGGTTTTTTCCTGCTCAGGGTTTGTTTGTGTACATACGCTTGGATTTGGGGAGGCAGGGAGAGAGAAGAGCTCTTGCTTTCCTTCTTTGAGCAACAGCTGAAGAGCCTGCTAGAAAAGCTTTGCAATTTCCCAATTGCTACTAGTCTCAAAGATTTATGTGCAAAATAGTCTATGGAGCCACCTGCAATAGTGAGTCAAGATAATGTTACTCCCAGTCAAGATAATGTTACTCCTAGACCATAAATCTCTTCCTTGTGCAGCCCAGTAGTTTGTCTCCTTATCCACAGGAAACCTGCCAGTTAATGTGAAACCCACTGGTTAGTGACATCTGTTACAGCTGCAGAAGGAGTTTTGACTTGCAAATCTTCAAGGAAAGAGAAGGAAACTATGTGAAAGAAGCCCCCTGGCACCTGGGGGCTCTGCTCAGCACTGGGCTGCTGAGACCACGGATGCTCCTCATTGCAGTTTACAGTGCAGGCAGCATCAGTAGTCTCTGAACATGTTAAATGATGATAGTAATAGGTAATATTAACAGATTTTAAGTTTTCAAGGTGCTTGAAAGGTGCCTGTCTTAGAAGCAGGCAATGTAAATATGGATTTTCCAATAAATACAACTTTGCAAGTAAGGGGAGTTTTTTTGAGTTTCGAATTGGTCCATCCAGCCTTGTCATTTCTTGCTCCTCCTCTTGGGTTGTGTGCGTGTCTTCTTTAAAAATATAAATAAAATCCATATAACCTTGGAAAGCAGAAGGGTGCAGATAACCGAATGAAAATACATGCTATTTTTACATGGCAAAGCACCCCAAGAGAGGGGTTTTAGCTGCTCGTTGCTGCCGGGGCCTCCGTGGCTGCGTTGCTGCGGCCGGAGCTGGTGCTGCCGCCACGGGGCTGCGCACGGCTGCGGGCCTGGAGGAATCCGCCTGCCTGGAGACCCTGCAAACCTGGGAGCGGGTCGGTTGCTGTGTGGGTTTCATAGGGGGACATCATGGTCCGCACAGTGCTCCCTGTGGGAAACGCCTGCGTCTCAGAATAGCTGCCCTGGGAGATGGGATCCGACCCGTTTTCTGGCTTTGAAAGTCAAGAGGGCAGTGGTTGGTCCAGCTTTTATTCAGGCCGTGTCCTGACTGTAAGGGAGGGTTTCAGGACGGTCTTTGGCATTACAGAGGGTCACTTCTCTGAGCTGATGTTGCTCAGGAGGGGCTGTGCTGGTGCAACGCTGCTCTTGCCCTGGGAGGTCACCCACAGTGCTGACTCTGACATTTCCCTTCTGTTCTTCCTAAACTTGGGTGCTCCACAAAAAACACTAGAACTTTTCAGGTGTTTCACACTTTCAAAACATTAGCCCCAATCTTTTTGCTTCAGATAAGGTTGCAAATGGTCTTCGAGTTGCTTCCCACAGGCAGCTACTCCGTGTGACGTTGAGCAGACTCAACATGCTGGAGCTGAGCACGTGAACACTCGTGTTAGCAGTGTCAAAAACAAGGTTGTGTTTATGTATTTGTGCCTGACATACTCTGTTGCTTTGCTGATGGTTCCTGAAAGCTGAGGCTAACTATGGTCCCATTTAGAACTTGCTATATGTCTAAAAGAGGTTGTAAAAGCAGTTGATAAACACGTTAATATGTGGGTTTTTTTGGATCGTCAGGCAGCAAGAAGCTGCTTTAAATAGACACTCGCTTTAGTCAAGTCTGGGTAAATCACTAACTTTTGTGCTGTCAAGTGCAGTTAGCAGAAGCACGAGGTGAGTAAATCACAACCCTGTTGCTTTCGTTGTTGGCAGGTCATTATGCATGGCAGAGGCAGAGGAGTAGCAGGCCAGATGGGCCGAGGACGCTTGATGCCAAATAAACAGAACCTGCGAGTGGTGGAGTGCAAACCTCAGCCCTGCATCGTGTCAGTTGAAGGGCTTTCTTCATCAACTACTGATGTCCAACTGAAAAACCTGCTGATGTCAGTGGGACCCATTCAGGTAGGTCAACCTTGGCTTCTAATTTTTGTGCCAAAAGTCTTTCATTCCGGAAAGCTCAATTAATTCCCTGACACTAAGTACAATGTGTGTTTATTGGTGATTTATGTTTGAAGGCACCCCCCCGCCACGCACACACGCTCTGCACCCGACAGCAAAGGCAAACACAGGGTGATATTGCAGCGTAGGAGGTAGAGGAGAATTTTGGAAACCCACAGTTTGCAAAACGCACTTTGCAGTCACATTTATGCTGCAGAGGATTCTCTTTCACATTGTCTTTCTTGTTACCTCCACTTTGTCCATACAAAACACAAGCAGGGCCGTTCTGTGAGGTTTGCTACAGCAGATTAGTGCATCCAAACAAATGCACGTTTGGTTGCTGCCCTTGTCTTTGCTGTCAGCTTGCACTTCATCGAACGCCCCGGTTCCTGTCACTGCAGTCTGGGGTGAGAGCACGCAGTGGACGCTGCCTGCCTGAGATGTTACATCTGCCGTGTGACACTCTGCCCTTCTGACTGGAAACGGCCTCTTTCCAAAGTACTTTTTCACTTTGTGTTTTAGAGGGGTCTTTCTGGGAGGGTTGACATGCACGTGCCAGGGTATCCACACAAAGCCTTGGTTCAGCATTGCCTCCTGGAGCTGGTGCATCAGTAAAACTGGCTTGCACCGAAACAGGAGGCTTTCGAAGCCCCAGAGGCTTTAGGAGGCTGTGCCAGACTTACGGTTAGTACATTAGGCAATATCAGTGAACAGATAATGAAACCAACAAACGATGGGATTTTTTTGCTCTAGTTTTTCAATTTGGGGAGCTGCTTTTGACAGGATCAGCACTTCCAGACAAATACTGTGCATTAATTGGCACTATTCTGTGACTTCAAGACTCCTTTCTGAGTAGGATTATCATAGAACACAGTGCTCTCCTGGAGATGGACGCTCGGCCTCTCTTTTCCAATTTAGTGAATGAAATAATTTTGAAATGTTTATATCATCAGTTCAAAGAGCAAAAATCCTTTCACAAAATATTTTGTCCCTTCATGTTCTGTAGCACTTTGTATGAAATTATTCATACCGTTTTGAAGTGAGGTCAGCTCTGAAGCACATTTGTTCTGTGTTTACTTGCTAAATCTTGCATGAGAATATTAAAAGAGATTAATAGAAACCTGCCTAGGAAATTTTCATGGCTAAAGGAGGTTCCTGAGGACGTGCAGAAAGATTTATTCAGGACTTGCTGTTTCTTATCAGACTCCCAACTCCAGTCTTCATGCAGTGTCATGGACCAATCTAGCAAGATAAGTTGCCTTCTTTATAGGGAGGAATTTATAACTAGTTTTCCAGTGGGATTTGGTATATCCCTGCCCTATACAGAGCTTGTATCCTTGGAGTAGGGTCACCTGTACCTTGTTGGAAACAGTGTTTTTTAGATCATCATCATCATCATCTAACTTCTTACAAGAAATCTAAAATCTTCAAAGTAGGGGTAGAATTTAGCTGATGGTGCAGAAGGCTTCTGTGCTGATTCTACATTTGAATCTCAGAAGTGCCTTTTGGAAGGCTAGAGATTTCCTGGCTTGTTTAAGACTGAACGGTGTTTGAAAAGTGCAGATAGGGAAGTGATCCTTTGTGATAGAAAGCATGTGGCCACCCTGGGTGATATGTAGCTCACTCTTATTTTTTCTCTTATTTTTTTTATGATGCTGTGACGTGGCAGAGAAAATATTAACATCCCAAAGGAGGAGCAGTTGTTGGAGGTAGCAGCAGTTGTAAGAGCCTTATAGTGAAAGAACTAAGGGAAAAAAAAAATGTGAAATCTGTTGATCTGTTGTTACCACTTCCCCAAAGGAGGAAGGGGTAGCAGCAGTTAATAAGAGCCTTATAGTGAAAGAACTAGAAAAAAAAAAACATGTGGAAATCTGTTGATCTGTTGTTACCACTTTTCACAGTAATGACTTGTACAGGACTTGTGCTGGATTTTGAAAGAGGCCAAAATCCCAGTGTGAATGGGTAGATATTCTTGTGGCTATAAATCAGTGTTTTTAGTAGTGTCTATGCTCAGTGCTGTATGACATCCCCTGTAAATGATCAAGAGGCTTTGCA